GTGGAGGGGCGGTGGGGGGAGCTGCAGAGAGCACTCCAGTTGTGTCCTGGATCCAGAGTGCAGCTCTCCAACACCTGGTGACATGGGATAGCTGATAAAAAGAGAATCCCTAAATATGGGGGCTAGGAAGGTCAAAGGCAGACTCCTGGGGGCTACCCATGAGAGCATGGCCAACCCACAGCCTCCAGGGAGGAAAAGGAGTGTCATCCATACTTCCATCAGACCCTAGGTTCAATTGTTAGCTGTGTCACTCACTGGCTTCCTGAACCTGAGCAAGTGACCTGACCTTACTAGGCCTTTTTCCTTTGCTCTGAGTATTGTGAGAGGGTAATGAATGGTAATGAAACATTCTAAGCTCTAAGCTGCATGGTGCTGCACACTCCTTGCCATCCCTTCACCATACTAGGCCCCCTCTGCAGCATGCCAGACACATTTTGGGTCTAGATCAGCCTGGATCTTATTGAGGATCCTGGGTGAGTTGGCTTTCCACTGCCGTACCCTCAGTTTTCCTATCTGTAAAATGGGATTAAACGATCCCAATCAATTTTCATGCCCATTGTGAGAGCTGGCTCTACAAACGGTTACATGCGGCTTATGGTGATATTAACCGTCGGATCGCTGGTCCAGAAGAGCCCCAGCCTCGACCCTCAAACGAGCACCAGGAAGAATAGTACCAAACAGCGGCCTTCCCCGGTCTCCAAGCTTCTTCAATCTTCCAGCTCAGACAGAAGAGGCAGAACGTGGGTGGCTCTGGTAGCTCTGGGCCTGGACCGGGAGCTGTCCACAGGTCGGTGCTGAACAGCGAGCAGTTAGCGACACCGCACACTGCCTGGTGTAGTAGCCCAGGGTGGGGCTCTTTGTATGAGAAAGAGGTCCCTGAGGCCCGTGTCCAGGCTTTAGGGAACGCCTAGAGGCCAGCCCTGGAGGCGTTCTTGGGGTCCGATGTACAATAGAGGCAGAACAAGGCAGGTCTTCCTCAGGGGCACCCGGCCCAACCTCTCCATTCAACCTCTATCACGGGGGTGGAGGGGGTGCAGCCCAGCTCCAAATGTTGTCAACACCAACCAAATTATGAGATTGCTTTTTTAAAAAAATCATTAGGAAGCTAAGAATAATTGCCAAGTGGGTTTGTAATCATGGGATGGAGTGAGCCTGGGTCAAGGGAGGGGAGAAGAGCTGGCGGGAATGGTGGTAGCTCTCAGGCTGGGGTTGGAGAGGTAGGTTCCTGTTTTCCTTGAAGGGAAAGGGGCATGGAAAGCACCTAGTTGGGAGTGGGAATGGGAGAGGAGAGGAGAGGAGAGGAGAGTGAAAGCAAGAACCCGATCCAGAGATGAATACAGATCTATCGAACTTGGAAGTGGTTTTTCTGGGCCTCAGAATACGTTGATGGGAGGGAGCCTCTGGGCCGGGCCGGGCCCCTTTCTCTCTCTGAGGAACCTCTGCCTGGGTTCGCGATCCAGAGACCTTTCTCAGGGTTCCCGCGAGCCAGGAGAGAAGAAAGAGAAAGGGGGTTAGAAGTGCAGGAGAAGGAGAAATGAACCTCAGAGAAGCTGGAATTCAGGAGGAAAAGAGGATCCATAACTCTGAGAGAGAAGGAAAACGGGGGCGGAGGCGACCTCGTGTCGCTACCCGCGGAAGATTTATGGCGTCGCTAGGGTTCCAAGGACAGGCTACACTGCCGCTGCTGCCACCGCCGTTAGCGGCTGTGGCCGCTGAGCCCCCTGCCCGGGCGGCCCGCCGCGCCCCGGGCCATCCCTGCCATTATTAACTTCTGTTTGATTAGGGTAATTGTTCAAACTTGTGCTGGACAGTATGATTAATTACAGTTTAATTAACGTGTCCATTAAGGACACTTAATGCCACGGGGGCGGGGGGGGGGTGGAGGCGGCCGAGGAAGTGCCCGAATGAGGGCGAGGAGGGGCAGGGGGGTGTGACTAGTAACTCAAAGTGTACACCGAGGGACAGAGAGCTAGAGAGAGAGAGAGAGAGAGAGAGAGAGAGAGAGAGAGAGAGAGAACCTAATTGGAGGGAAAAGGGCATAGGGAGGGACTTGGGGGAGAGGGAAGGTGACAAGGAGGTCTGTTTTGGTAGGGGACCCCTCCCCACTGAAAAACTGAGTTAGCAATGTTGACAGTAGTTGACCCCAGGTCTCTCCCAAGGATGACTTGCTTCCAGCCCTGAGCCTGCTGGTGATGATGAAGAGAGATATTCAAAACAGGGGATGAGGATAACCCCAGTTCCAGCGTCCCCTACCCCACAAAGGAGGGTGCTCTTCCCCAGGCTAGAGCTCTCCTGGATTCTCCGGCTTAAGTCAGGAACGGTGGAGGCAGGTGGATCTGCTCCTTCCTGAACTGCTCTCTCCAGTGCCCCGTACCCTAGTCCCTGGCCATTGATGACCCTACCAACTCCCCAGGACCACACTTGGTTCCACCGCCCTGCAGCTTGAAAGTGAGGTACTCCTCCGCACGCCTCTTCCTTTTGAGTCCCTCTTAACTCCATCATCCGGCCTGGCCCACCTGCTCCTGGCCCTTGGTGGAGAGGACTGGGCCCTCCCCACTTTGTTCTTGGAGGCAAACTTTATGTCCCCGAGTCCTTCCTCCCACTTGTCCTCTCTGACTAGAGGGGGCCGCAGGTGCCGGATGCCAGCCCCAGGTGTGCGGCCGCTTACCTGGGACGCGCAGGCCCTAGGGCTGCGAAGAGGCAGCGGGCGCAAAGCGTGGCCCGCGGGCGGGTGGACCCGGGGAGGGTGCGAGTGACTGCGCGGGTGGTGGGTGTGGCGCCCCGGCTCGCAGCTGTCAGGCGCGCCCGCCCGGAGCCGGCCTCGCCACTCAGGCTGTGGCCGCGCGGTGCCAGCCGCGCCATGCGCTCTAGGCTTCGGCCTCTTCTTCGGGCCAGTCCCGGGCCTCGGGGCAGTGGCTGAGGGCACAAGTCTCAGTGTCCAGGACCCTGGCGCCCCGCGCCTGTTAAGAGCGGGAGGGGCCGCGGGTGGGAGCGTGGCTGTGCGCGCGCGCGGGGAGGGGCCGCGCCGTCACCCGGAGAGCCCGGCGGATCCCGGACTCCCGCCCGCCGCTCCGCCCGCCGCGCACCTCAGCTCACCGATCGCCTGGCTCCAGCCGCCGCCACACGGTGAGTATCCGCGACCGATAGCCTGCCGTCCTCGCGCCCTGCAGCTACAGCTTTTTTTTCGTTTAGTTCTTATTTGGACTCTTGTGGCTGTTGTTTTTTTATTATACCTAACGACTCTACCGCCTCGCTCCCTCCGCTGCCCGCCTCCTGTCTCGTTAAGCCTCCCCAGGCTCGCCCCTCAAGCCCCAGGAGCGGGCGAGGGTTCCTCAAGCTGCCCTGGCCGCTGCTCCTTGTCTCTGCCTACAGCCCTTCGCCCGTGCTTTTCCGCTTTGGCCCCCGAAATGCTGTTCCTTTCTTAGGGCCTCCCTTCTCCTGGCTCCAGGGCCCAGAACCCTCTTCATTAACTTGGGAAAACCCTGCCGGGGTCCCGGACCCCCAGCTTGGGGAGGAAGCGCTTGGCTCAGAGTGCTTTCTTCATTGTATGCGGGCCAGGCACACTTGCAGATTTCTGGAAACCGAGAAGCTTCGTCATTTCCCAGAGCCGCATGCCCCCTGCTACCTCGCTGCCTGCCAGGGAGCCCTCCCTAGGGTGAGTGGCTTGTCTTGTTGACCCCTCGGCCAGGGAGTTAGGACAGTATTTTTGCCTCCTACAATGTTACAGAGGACTTCAATGTGAAGGGAGGGTCAACTTGTTTCAGTTTGATTCAAAGAGATAAAGATGAAACAGATAATAGATAAATAGCTTGATACTTGAAGAAGGTACAAGGCAGATGGGAAAAGAGGAGCGAGCTGGCAGAGACAGACAGCTCAGGGACAGATAAGATCGACAAATGAGAGCACCTTCACAAACAGAGAGGGAAGGAGAGAGAAAAAACGACCTGTCTCTTCACTAAGGCTGTGGAACTCGGACCCCCTATTCCACTGAAGCTGCCCCTCTGAAAAATGGATTTGTCTTTCCAGCCTAGCTTAGGTCAGGGGCCCTCCAGGTTGAGCTTCCCTGGGGCTGCAGGAACACTTGCAGGCATGGGTGGGTTGGAGCCCTGTGTATCCCAGGACACGTGGCTGAGTTGGGCGACCTAGAAGGCCCTAAACATAATTTCCCGGGTTCCCCCAGGTTGCTGATGTCTGTGGGCAGGGCTGCCTCCCTATCTCAGTAGAGAGCAAAAGGCGGAACCAGCAGCAACTTTTGTGCCCAGAGCCTTGAGGAGGCTTCCAAGGCTCTCAAGGATTTCTTCTGGTCCATGAAAGCTGGGACAGGGTGGCATGAAGGATACTCAGAAAGGAGACACCCCCTCCCAAAGAAGAAACCCAGAGCCCCTGGGAGCCTACGTTTGGCCTGATGGGAAAGGCATTTGTGAAAGAGGAACGCTCAGGAAGTGGGGGATTGGAAGTGAAAAAGTAGCTCCTTAGAAACTTCTCTGAGAACCTCTCTGTCCCAAGTGCTGACCCAGATGGAAACCGGCTTTCGTGTGGAATGCAGCTAAAAACGCAGAAAATGTGGTTAGGAACTGCACGATCCTGGTTCCACTGATGGCTGGAAAGAAAACAGTTTATATATCCAGCCGGAATCTTTCTGCTCAACGAACTCGTGGCGCCAGGCATCAGAAAAGAAGCTCGGGTTTGTGGAAAGCCGCACTGTTGTCCCCGGAAGCCCGTCAGCATGAAGCTGGGTGCGGTAGGGTCCTCCCAGGGTCTGGACGTACAGGACGCGCTTTGGAGAGGGTAGGGTTCAGCACCGCAAACAGCGGTCGCCTCGGCCACTCCCCCTCCCAGGCAGCCCAGGATCACTCCTCCTACTCCCTGCCCACCCACCACCCGCACTCGGGAGACCCGCAGTGACCGCCCCTTCTTCGCCTCCCACCTCTCCCGCTACTGCCCCCCGCCCGCCGGCTTACATGCGCGAGTGAACAGAGGGGCCGCGGGTCCCAGAAGTCTGGGCTTCTGGACCCTGGCTGGCAGGAAAGGCTGCGAGGGTGGCTAAAGGTGCGCGAATTTGCGCCCTGGCGGGACAGCCTGGATCTGGCAATGGCGTTGCTGTGTGGCCTTGGGCAAGTCATTCTCCATCTCTGGGTCCCACGTTTTCCTCAGTGGAAAACCAGGGTTGGGTTCCTTGTATACCTTGTAGCTGGGGCATTCCAGAATTCTCCGTTACTCCTTCCCTTCCCTTAATTCCCTCCCCCGGGGGCTTTTGTTCTGAGGGACACCATTCTGAGTCATGAAAGGCCCCTGTCCAGAGTGCCAAGGAGCTTGAACTCCCCACTGCCTAGTATCTCAGTTACGGCGGAGTCCATGAGCCCCACTTGGCGGGCCCAGGTCCGGGCGGTGGCACTGAAAGTAGTTCATACGCTCTCTGGTTTCTCTGTTTCGCAGGAGCGGCGGCATGGAGGCTCTCACCACTCAGCTGGGACCAGGGCGCGAGGGCAGCTCCTCACCCAACTCCAAGCAGGAGCTACAGCCCTACTCAGGCTCCAGCGCCCTCAAACCCAACCAGGTGGGGGAGACGTCGCTATATGGGGTGCCTATCGTGTCCCTGGTCATCGACGGTCAGGAGCGCCTGTGTCTGGCACAGATCTCCAACACCCTCCTCAAGAACTACAGCTACAATGAGATCCACAACCGCCGCGTGGCCCTGGGCATCACGTGTGTGCAGTGCACGCCGGTGCAGCTGGAGATTCTGCGTCGGGCCGGGGCCATGCCTATCTCCTCTCGCCGCTGTGGTATGATCACGAAGCGAGAGGCCGAACGTTTGTGCAAGTCATTCCTGGGCGAGCATAAGCCCCCCAAGTTGCCTGAGAACTTCGCCTTTGATGTGGTGCACGAGTGCGCGTGGGGCTCTCGTGGCAGCTTCATCCCTGCGCGTTATAACAGCTCGCGTGCCAAGTGCATTAAGTGTGGCTACTGCAGTATGTACTTCTCACCTAACAAGTTCATCTTCCACTCGCACCGCACGCCCGACGCCAAGTATACCCAGCCAGATGCCGCCAACTTCAACTCGTGGCGCCGTCACCTCAAACTCAGTGACAAGTCCGCCACAGATGAATTGAGCCACGCTTGGGAGGATGTGAAGGCCATGTTTAATGGCGGCACGCGCAAGCGGACCTTCTCCCTGCAAGGAGGCGGCGGAGGCGGCGCTAATGGCGGGTCAAGTGGGCAAGGGAAGGGTGGTGGAGGCGGCGGTGGAGGTGGTGGCCCGGGGTGCAGCGCAGAGATGGCCCCAGGCCCGCCGCCCCACAAAAGCCTGCGCTGCGGAGAAGATGAGGCGGCCGGGCCTCCAGGGCCACCTCCTCCTCACCCACAGCGCGGACTTGGCCTGGTGGCAGGAGCTAATGGCCCGGCTGGCCCAGGAGGACCTGGTAGCAGCGCAGGTGTACGTAGCTACCCGGTGATCCCAGTGCCCAGCAAAGGCTTTGGGCTCTTGCAAAAGCTGCCCCCACCGCTTTTCCCGCATCCTTATGGTTTCCCCACGGCCTTTGGCCTATGTCCCAAAAAGGACGACCCAGTGTTGGGCGCGGGAGACCCCAAGGGTGGCCCTGGCACTGGGAGCGGTAGTGGTGCAGGCGCTGGCGCCGGTGCGGGGGGCCCTGGAGCAGGCCACTTGCCTCCGGGGGCAGGGGCGGGTCCGGGTGGCGGTGCCATGTTCTGGGGTCATCAACCTTCTGGGGCAGCCAAGGATGCAGCGGCTGTAGCTGCAGCAGCGGCTGCCGCCACAGTGTACCCGACGTTTCCCATGTTCTGGCCAGCTGCAGGCAGCCTCCCGGTGCCGCCCTACCCGGCTGCGCAAAGTCAAGCTAAGGCTGTAGCGGCAGCGGTAGCAGCGGCGGCGGCGGCGGCTGCGGCGGCCGCTGGGAGCAGCGGACCCGAGCCCCTGGACGGCGCTGAGCCAGCCAAGGAAGGTGGCCTTGGCACGGAAGAGCGCTGCCCGAGTGCTCTGTCCCGCGGCCCCCTGGACGAGGACGGTGCGGACGAGGCGCTACCACCGCCCCTACCCCCCTTACCCCCTCCTCCGCCGCCACCTGCACGCAAAGGCTCCTATGTGTCTGCCTTCCGACCTGTGGTCAAGGACACGGAGAGCATTGCCAAGCTCTATGGCAGCGCCCGCGAGGCATACGGCACAGGGCCTGCTCGAGGGCCTGGGCCAGGCGCGGGGACAGGCGGGGGCTACGTGAGCCCGGACTTTCTGAGCGAGGGCAGCTCCAGCTACCATTCCGCCTCGCCCGACGTGGACACCGCGGACGAGCCTGAGGTGGATGTGGAGTCTAACCGCTTCCCTGACGATGAAGGCGCCCAGGATGAAATGGAGCCCAATGCTGCCAGCGCGGGAGGTGGCCCAGATGACGACCAGCCCGCTGGGCCCCCATCTGCCACCTCCTCAGGCGCAGAGGGTCCCACAGACTCTCCCGACAGTGGTAGTCCTCGCCCCCGGCGCCGTCCTGGGCCACCCCCTGCCAGCCGGTCTGCATTCGGGGACCCGGCTGCAGATGACGTAGTGCGGAGACCTGAGAGGACCCCGCCAAGCGGTTATGACCTTCGAGAGTCTTGCGGGCCCCTGGGAGGCCCCGCGACGATCAAGGTGAGTCCTGTGCCCATCCCGCCAATGGCGCCTCCTCACTTACCACTCCACACCCCGGGCATGCAGGGCAGCCCAGAGCCGGGTGAGGGACTGGTTTTATTAGGCACGGGCGTTGGAGCAGCTGCCTGGGACCCTGGGCTGAGGGTTTCGGAAGATCGGGGGAGGGAGCGGGCCTGAGGAATGCGTGTACTTTGCTTTTGTTGATGGGAGTGGGGAGGAGACCAACAAAGACTGCCAGGCATCCAAAAAGAGAAATAAAAGGGGTGTGGAGGAAGAAAGAGAAGAGAAAGGGACCTTGAACCTGAGAAAAGTGCTCTGGAGGCCAGGCCCAGCGTGCGCCCGCTCAGAGGAAAAACAAACAAACAAACCAACAACAAAAAACAAAAACCAAGGCGACCTCTCCCCAAGTAGGACGCCAGTAGTGCTGGGTCCCGGAACCTCCATCCACCCCAACCGGCAGTTTTTCAACTCCGCCTTGGGAGCCACAGGATTCTTGCTGGGAAGCTGTCTTCCGAGGGTGTGCAGACCGGGGTTGGGGGGAAGGCGTGGGGGAGGGAGGAACTCTTAGGTTGGAAGGGCTGGAGCTGGAGGAGCAGGTTGTGGCTAGGCCAGAATCATTGGCCATTTTGAAAGTGGATGCTCACACCTGTACACTTCCATTAGATTCATTAAAACACAAGTCATTAACCGGATGTGAAAGGCGTCATTTGTGTCTGGAACCCACACCGGCCAGAGGGAAATGTTGAAAAGGAGGCGAGCGCAGAAATTGGGGGCGGCTGAAACAGTCGGTGGCTTGGGAGCAGCTTTGTGTTTCGAGTAATTTGCTCGCGGGCACCAATAATTACCCCGAATCTACCTTGGTGATAGGGACTGGGAGGGCTCAAAGGTGCATGCGTCGCTCCTGTGGGCGGTGCTCGGTCCTTCCGGCTGGCTGCGGGGCAGGGCTGAGCAGTTTTGGGTAGTCAGCAACCGCCCCCCCCCCAACTAATTGCCTTTCATTTCTCGGCCGTCGCAGGTATACGCGCCCGAGAGGGACGAGCACGTGAAGAGCGCGGCGGTGGCGCTGGGGCCCGCGGCCACTTACCTCTGCACCCCTGAGGCCCAGGGTAATGCCTGCTGTGGCCGCTGGCCACTGCAATGCAGGGACCGCAGACCTAAGGCCGGGGCCAAGGAAGGCCTTCGAGGGGAGAAAGAGAGAAAGGGAAAGAAAATAAAGAAAAGGGAAGCTATGCGTGTACTCCCAACAATTCCCATGGTTCGGTTACTTAAAAACATTGACAACCCGCCCTCTCCACCGCACACACACACACACACACACACACACACCCACACACACCAGTACTCCTCTTATATGAGTTAAAACCTTTTTAAAAATCACGGCTGGCACCTTTTCAACTCCTCTCATTTATTCAGCACTGTGTTTGGCCTTAGGGTGAGCGGTGATCAGGCCGGCTCTGGGCGAATGATGAGCTCGCGTGTTGCGCGCTTGAGTAACACAGAAGTGTCAGCTTAGCAGCGGCCCAATGCACGGGAGGGGGTGGAGAGAGCTGCACTTGCGTTTGGGACCCAGTTGCTAGCCCAGGAGGGACCCGCAGTCACGCAAATCCAGGCAGGCCAAGGCAGCCCAGCCAGAAACTATGATTACTAGCCCACCCCACCCCAACACCGGCCGCCCCACGACCACGACCTGAAGGTCACCGACTGGGTTGCAATCTCCGCGGGAGTAGCGCGGACAGACCCGGCGGCCACGCGCGCTCGCGGTGTCCCAGTATCTGCGCGCGATGTAGGTCGCTCGTCCCTGGTGGGCTCGGCTGCTAGTCTAGATCTTTTTGGAGGGGCTGGGGCTGGGGCGCGAAGCCCAGAGAAGAGCCAACCATGCGCGGGGGGAGGGGGTTGTCGGGCCCAAAGCCTCAGGGCGCACGCGGGAGCGCCCAGCCGGGAACCAGAGGCAGCCACGACTTTTTAATTAGGGCTTGGGCGCCCCAGCCGCGGAAGCTCTGGAAGTATCGGGGTCACGGTTTCTTTGCCTCTCCTTGAAACTTGGTTTATTGCCTTTAAGAACCAGATAAGGAAGACAATCACTCTACCGGCGATGATTTGGAAACGAGGAAATCCTATTCAGACCAAAGGAGTATCTCTCAGCCAAGCCCTGCAAATACAGACCGAGGTGAGCACTAGGAGTCCTAGCCCTCCTGCCCCCTCCTTCTGGAACTGGGACCCAGGTCTCCACAGGCTTGGAGGTAGGCTTGCAATCCAGAGCAAGAGCTAACAGTTCCCTTCCTCCTTAGCAAATATTTAAATATTTCAGGGGCGGTGCAGGCCAGGTTGGGCCTTGGTAATTTGAGGTGCTTCCAGGTAAGGGCAGGGGGTTACTAAAAGAAAATGGAAGGACTGCCTCATTCACCACTCACCAAAAATAGTCTAAGGACACTTTGTGCCCCAGGTGAGCCTATCTTTATGGGCCCACTCACTCTCCTACCCTTACACTGATGGCTTGGAATGTGGGTAGTACTGGATGCCTATAATTGTCTCTCTGAAAGAAGAGAGTCTGGAGTAGTCCCTGACTTGGCAAGGTTCCTAGGGAGCTCACCCCTCCTCTCTGAAGTTCTCTCCCAGGAAAGAACCCCTTTTATCTGCCCTTGTATCCCAGGTGAAGATGGGCTCACCTTAGATGTCACAGGAACTCAGCTGGTGGAGAAAGATATTGAAAACCTGGCCAGAGGTGAGGTTAAATCTGTGAAATGGGATACATTGTGCTTGAGGGTAATAGGCCTTTCCTGTAGAGGGGGTGTTATTCCGGTAGTGATGGAGTGGGAGAGACATGGCACCTGGGGAATAAGTTTTCATTTCACTGAATAGAAAGGAAAATCTCTGGACACATCCTGGCACAGAGGTGTATGTGTGGATAGGGGTCATAGGGAGTGAACCAAATCCCTGGAAGTTTGGGTTCCCATGGCCCAAGTCTATTTTGAATAGCTCTGTGAGAGAACTGAGTAATGATTCTAGACCTGATGCTTGTGGACTACCAAACAGGGCAACCAAACACCATGGAAAACAGGTCCTTTTCTGAAGAGCAAGATTACAGGAGAGGCATTTGTTTTAGGAACATGGGAGAGGCTACAGTACGTTCCCCACTGGAATTAATGTATAACCATTAATGCATCAACGAAGTGTGGTTGGGCCTTGTGTCAGAATGGGACCCCACTCTGTTGTTGCTCAGATCTCAAATGGAAGAAAATGGCTTGAGGCAGAAAGGGAGTCTTGAACTCCCTTTCACTTTGTCTCTCCACCTTCCATTCCTGTGATTCAGAGGAGTTTTTCCGTGGGGAGAACCCAGATACTAATGGCCCTATGATTGGGGCAGCCTCTCCTTCCACTTCTCTGGAATTGGTTCCTGAGGGCACTAAATTGAGCTTTCCACACATCCAGCAGATGGATGGTCTTGGAAATTGGTGGGGGAAGGGAGTTAAGCATCAGTGGCTCTCCACTCTTCATAGTTACAGATTTTACAGGATATGCCATCACCTTAAAAATCATCGGTGTTTTATGGGAGGGTTCTTAGCATGGATTCGAGAGGTCTGAGGACCTCCTGAAATTGTAGGCAAACTTGTTAAGTATGTCTGTTTCTTTGGGAAGGCTGTACTTGGCTTGCTAGATTGTCCCTGATTTGTATTAGAAGGATTGTCATTTGAAGTGAGAAATCACATTTTTGTGGTCATCGTCTAAGGCTAGGGAGTTAGGAACAACTTAAAGCAGAAGCCAGGGCCCAGAAATCCAAAATAGATTCCACCCTCCTGAGTTGGATTCTCCTGAGCATCCTACCCCCTAGCCTTGTGTCTTTGCTCAAATCCTTTGGATGCAAATGGAAAAGCCAGAATGCTGAAGGCTTTCACCCCCATAGTCCCAGGACTATTGGCCAGGACAGAACCAGGGTGCACAATAGATCCCTTGAGTTCCCCCATGTACCCCTTTTACCTTTCACTCTCCCCGCTCCACAGAGGAACTGCAAAAATTGCTCCTGGAGCAAATGGAGCTCCGTAAGAAGCTGGAGCGAGAATTCCAGAGCCTCAAAGGTAATTCCATCCCTCCCCATCCCACCTCTACACCTTTGGGAGTCTTGATCCAGGGAGCAGGCTGGTGGTGGCTGCCTTGGCACACCCGGTGGCAGCCAAAGAAGCCCTTTTCCAGTGTTTCCAGCTAAGCTAAGGATTGGGTGGGGGCGGGGTAGAGGTGATGATGGGAGGAAGTAGGGAAGTGGAGCTGGGGGAGGAGGCTGTGCGTTACCGCTCTCACTTAATCAATTTGCACAGATAATTTTCAGGATCAAATGAAGAGGGAATTGGCTTATCGAGAAGAAATGGTGCAACAGCTGCAAATCGTCAGAGGTAAGACGGGAGTCAGGTGAGGCTTGCGCGGCCGTAACTGCCTCTCGTCTGGCAGGAGCCGCAATGTTGGCTCAGTCATTTGGATTTAAATTGAAGGTAATTTAACAATTATTTTTTTTATTTAATATCCTTTGTATACTCTGATTAGCCTCAGAATGGCAAGCGAGCCCAGCAAACGGCTTGCAGGCATCATTACATGGAGTGATTGAACTTCTTATCGCGGCAATTTCCATGGTTTCTAAATTAAAAATCGAGGCGTAAAATTACCTGGGAAGTAATGCCTAAGTTTGCTTTAATTTTGGTTAGATCCGTCTGCCTTTAAGCGCCATCCCAGGCCATTTCGTCCCTCTGCCAGCCTGCAGTTTGGAGCGGTGGTGCCCCCCCCCCTTAGTCCCCACGGGGAGTGCACGCTGCGCGCGGGGGTTGGGGAGACCCTGTAGCACCGGCTGTGATTCCTCATCAGCCCCTTTCCATGTCTTCCAGACACCCTGTGTAACGAACTGGACCAGGAGCGGAAGGCACGCTATGCCATTCAGCAGAAATTAAAAGGTGCGCCACCAGGAAACAAAGATAGGAAAGGTGCCAGGAGCTGGCTGTGCTGTTGAATGAATAAATGAATGAATGAATGACTAGCGGGGCTAGGAAGGGGGAAGGCCTGAGTAGAGGAAAGTGGAAACTGATTGTAATGGGGACAGTATTCTAGAAGAAAGAGGCCCTTTGAGTTCTGGGCATTAGAAAAACCTGCCTCTGGCCTTTTTCTGGCCTCGGGCAAATTGACCCTTCTTTCTCTGTGCCTCAGTTTCCTCTTGTGTAAAATGTGGCGGTTGAACCAGAGCACTGGTTCTGAATCACCGGTCTCTCCTACCTCCTTTCTGATCCGTTCCATTGAGAACGCCAGTGGCCAAAGCCTTGAGCGAGGTCGAGGAGGGGGACGGGTGGACCCCGTGGGTCAGGCGAGGCAGGTGAGGTGGCCAACGTGGCTGGTGCGACTCTCTCCCCAGAAGCCCACGACGCCCTACACCACTTCTCCTGCAAGATGCTGACGCCCCGTCACTGCACTGGCAACTGCTCCTTCAAGCCCCCGCTGTTGCCCTAGGGCCGACCCTGCCGCGCCTCTGGGCCCTCAAGCCATGCTGCTCCTTCCTGTAAATCCCCGCTGCCGCGGTGGCCCCGAGCGAGGAACAAGCCATTCGGACCCGACCCATGTACAGACAGCCGCCGGTCTGCCCGCCTTCCTCCTGGGCCCAGGCTCTGTTTCCCTGTGTAAATACCGCCTCGCCCCTCCGTTGAACTCCTGGGTCTCGGACCTCAAGGGGTTAGCTGAACCCGGGAAAGAAAGGGGAGAAGACTTCTCCCACGTGTAGCCACGACCCGATTGTGAATACAATGTAGCAACTTCGTTGGCGGCTGCCCCGCGCTCCTCGTCCCGTCCACTTCTGAAACTCTTGTTCCTAATGACAAAGTGGCTATGTGCAATGGATATAAATGTACTGTGAGTCTTTAGGTTCACTTAATTTATTTATGCTGTAACTTATTTTTCTTTTTTCTAGACTTACTTCCAGCCCCCCTTTGAGTTCCCTTTTGTCTGTTTTTGTTGTAATCTCTTGATGTAACAGCACTTTAAAAGGGCGACAACTGACTCACGAGATGGCGACCACCTTGAGCCTATTAGGGGAGACAAACCCTGTATCCGTGACTTTTGTTTTTAATTAAAAAAAAAAATCTGTCACTTCCTTGGGTTGTGGAGGTGGGAGTGCGGGGAGGTGGGGGAGGAGAGAGTGGGGCGGGGTAGGCAGAGGACTGTGCCACAGGTGGGGCATAGGGATCACCGTGCGGGTTTTTAAATGCCCCGGATCAGAGTCCTTCTCGGTCTGGTAGACAGCGGCCAGTGAAAAGATCTCTCCATGGACCCATCCAGACACACCCAATTTTTCCCACAGGCCACCCCCCTCTCCGAGTTAGGAACCTCTCTTGGGCCATGGCTGGGGAAAGGGGACTACTGCCTGCTCCTATCTGTGTGCCTGGTCCCTTCCTCCAAGCGCTTGTGGAGACCAAGAGTTCATTTTTGCCAATTTCCATGCCTGCCAGAGGGGACGTCACCTCCGGGATGCTCAGAGACATCAGGCCTTTTCGGAAGTAAGATTTAACCAGAATTGTCCCTCTACCTGGAGCGGGCACCGCTAATGGCCCGGGAGCTCTGGACTGGAATAGGGGTCGAAGTGCCTAGAATGGGTCTCTGAGGGACAGACTTGGAAAAGACTTGTAGCTCGCGCACAGATGCCCACTGCGGACCCCGCTGCATTTTGAAGTACCCTCCATTTTAGTCGGAGAGGAGTTGGGAACGTGGAGGAATCCAAGGAGGAAGGTGAGGCCAGGCTGTGGCTGGGGCATGAGGCCCCACCTGGTCGCAGACCTCTGGTTGGCCTCAGTTTCCACAGACCACCTGCTCGTGTTCTGCAGATGTAAACTGCTGAACACTCTTCACAAGCAGGGACTAAAGTGTGGATGGAGTCGGAAGGCGCACGGTATAGAGAAGCATTCTGCCTTGGCTGAATTTCAGCCCTTCCTCTGGCTAGCAAAGGTCCTGCATCCCACCTTTTATTTTTCTTGGCCTCGGTTTCCAACCTTTTATAAAACGATATTCAGGTCTCTGTTCCCCGAGACTCACGGGAGCTCTCTGGAAGGTAAACCGAGCAGAGGCAGCTGCCAGGACCCGCGCGCGCCCAGACCGCCCGGATCTCGGGACATCCCCTGACTAGCTCTGCGGGTCTGTCTGATGGACACCCTGGAGACTTGGGGCCAGGAGCCCGCGGCTGCGCGGGGCCGGGAAGTTTGCGCTGGGTTGCTGGGGTCTCTGGCAGAGCTGGCAAGCAGGGTAGCGCTCTGGGCTGCCGGAAAGGGGCGCAGGCGGCAGACCAGTCGGGGCTTCGGGTTCTCAAGTGCCTGGATGTTCTGAGTGCTAAATCCAGAAAGGCTACGAAGGACATAATGGCGGCGAGGGCGCGGGGCAAAGTGTGAGGCATAGCCTCGCGATCTCCCTGCTGGGACTCTCCAGGGAGCCGGCCCCTTGCATAGAAGCAGGACCATTCTCTTCTGAGGTATAGAAGAGAAGGTGACTAGCTTTCCCAGGGTGCGCCAGGGGCGAGCGGAGCTGGGGCGTGGTCCACCAGCGCGGGTGTTCCGAGATTGCACGTGCTTTTGCCACGGCATAAGAGCACTGTGGGAAGCAGCCCTTTTCATTCTCTGTACAGTGGGCCTAGCAGATATCACCCAGCCAGGAAGTTCCTGTTGAACTATGGCGCGACACAGGAGCCTAGCAAATATTCTTTTTCACTCTTCCTCCCCAAATCCCCCCAAAGTGGAGAAAAGCACGCAGGTAGCTGCAGTTAGCTAGAAAGGGCGCCCCATCTGCGCCGGAACCTTTGCGGATTGTGGGTGTAGGCGGATTCAACCCAGAAAGTTCAACGCTAAAAACCCTCCTGGGTTCCGCGTCCCTTCGCAAGTGGTTTGTTCTCCTCAAAATGTTAATAACCAAACGATTGGTATGGATGTAATTATCAATAATTATGCGAATTATTGCTGATTGCAGGCTCGTAGCTACTTTAATTAGCTTACCAGATTCTAATTAAGTTAAATGAAACATTAATAGGGAAAATATGCTTTAAAAAAAAAAAAAACCCCAGGGTTTAAAAAGGCTATTTCTTGCCACAACGTTGCCACCTTGCGACGAATTTAGGCATTACCGCCAACGCACTAAGGCCCCGGTTCCTGCCTCAAATTCAGAACACCAATAAAAGTAGAACGGGAGCAGTATTTTGGCTCTCGGGGAGAAAATGGAACTTGAGCGGGGATAGTGGGGCACAGATGTCCTCCGGATATTCTCTTTTGGCGTTTGGTTCGGCCCCTTACTCCCAGAGGTGAGTCTGGAGGTAAGGGACCAAGCAAACACACCCCTTCTGCTTTTTTTTTTTTTTTTAATCCAGAGAATTCTGTGCCTCTCTTGGGAGCGATGTGGGCGAGATAGTCTATATTCTCACCTGTCCGGCAAATCCAGGGCTACAGACTGAGCAAAGTTGAGACTTTCATAAGTGACCATAGCATCAGGTTGCTTTATTTTTCAATTCCTTGAGAGAAACCAGTAAGTCTCTTCCCACTTTCATTCCTTCTGCCAATGGGGGTAACCTGTGGAAAAAAGCACCTAGAAAATCCTCAACTCTGGGGACACAGGTAACCCCTGTCTCATGACACTTGGTTCATGAGCCTAGCAGGGCAGTCATCTCGCTTTGTTATTCTTGGTTGCCTGGTTAGATCTGTTTCCCACTGGACTCACACCCTGCTTTTCCTCAGTCTCCAATACAATGCCCAGTTCATCACAGACACACAACAAATGTCCACATGAAAAGGGTCCAACTTGGTGGCTCATCTAGGTTCTGGAAATGTCTGAGGGAAAGAATCCCTAGGTGCTGCTGCACAACAGCCACTGAGAAGCAATTAAACTCATTTGCATAAGGTTAATTAAGCACAAGCTTACTGTTCAGAAAGAAAATCCTTCATCAATAGGATTATGGGGGAGGAAGGTGGTGTTATTGTCAATCTAGAATGAGAAGACTTTCTTCTTGTTCCACTATGTTCCAAAGTGGCAGCTCCATCACTTCCTAACATTTTGCAAGGTCCCTGCCACATGCCTGTCCACCCATTCCCAGATGCTTCTATAAAGTGTAGCCGTTATCCATCGAGGAAGTGCAACTCTTGTCTTGAATTCAGAACACAACAAAAGCAGAGCTGGATCTGCATGCTTTCTCCATTCCTTCTAAACAGTCTTACACTCTCTTGTCACCCCAGAGGTAAAACAGGGCTTAGTTAAGAGTGCAAACTGAGTAGCTAGATTTACTGAGGTCTCATCTGCCACTAATTGTGTGACATTGGGCAAGATGCTGGACTCTCTGTGCTTCAGCTTCTTTATAACATGAGGGAAATAACAGTACCCACTTCAGAGAACTGTCTAGTGCATGTAATAAGTAACATATGTAAAGCATTGGGAACGGCTCCTGGCAGGTAAGTGTTGGCAGCACTTATCTGTGTTTGATAGGATCACAGTTTTCCAGTTGAGACTCAAGAGTCTCCAAGGCCCAGAAAAGGAAACAAACCAGTGCTCTGTACAGCCTGGCCCCCTGAACATTCTCGGTGACACTTTAGAAGAATCCACAAGCATCTGGTTGGAAAGACATCCTGCAGTGCCATCATTGGTTGACTACAGGTGTCTAAGGGGACAAGGACTCACCAAGTTCTCTCAGTAACTTGCTGTAGAGTCGGGAAAGTCAGCCAGATCTTTGGATCTTCCAAAGGACTAGGAATTGATTGTGTCTTTCCTAATTCCTGCTCCAAGAGGATGGTCATGTCAAGAAGAATGAAGTTTCTTTAGAAACACTTGGTGCCCCTAAGAGCCCCTTCCCCAAACAGGCTAACAGCATTCTTGCCTCTTGGATTGTTTTTGCTTAAGAAGGGGGAACCACACCAACATTGGTAGTTTCTTTGTCAGCCTGGAATGAGATATTTAAAATTATTCGTCCAATTGCCCAAGTGGCTGACAACCAGACATTATTGGGGAAGAACAGCAGAAATTGTCCTCTTAATTCCGTGCATGGGAGAGGAGGCTCAAGGACGTGTCCTACAGACTCCTCTATTTTCCACCTGGTTCACTTTCACAGAAGGCGCCCCAGAAATGGGTCCCCAACAGAGCGAGTGGTCTTAGGGCCACTCTGGGGCTCTGCGGCTGGTCCCAGTGAGCCGCCAGAGGAGCCAAGGTGTGCTGTCACAGACCCACTGGGGTCGCTGTGGCTGAAGAATCCACGTGTGTGCTCAGATATCAGCAAAGCAGATACAACATTTTTCTTTTGGATAGAAAGGATATTTCAAAACCCATTGACTAACTCATCACAGGAAATCTGAACTTTGTTGGGTTCCCCTCTACCTTCATCTTACCAGTTAGAACTATTTTTGCAACGGAGTGACCTGGGGACCAGGTTCCTGTCTTATCAGGGTCAGTGCCTCTAAAGCCTTCTTTCAGCCAATTGCTACTCACAGGGCTTTGTCCAGGCTGCTCTACATCCGTGTCTCCTGTAAAAACGGTGACGGGGTACCCCTGTCACAGGGCGAAACTGCTGGGAATGTTACAGTGAAACATTCATGAGGCCCGGACACATGGTAGATACTAAATAAATGATGGGGGTCAATATAATTTTTAAAAGTTTCAGAGCAATTCGTCAGTCTTATTGCAAGTTCCTGGTATCGTACACTGCACGTGCTTGTCGC